TTTGATAGGGTCTTGCTAAGTTGCTTAGGCCTTGCTAAATAGCCAAGACTGTCCTAGAACTTGCAATCCTCCTACCTCAGCCTCCCGAGTCACTGGAATTATAGGCATGCACCACAATCCAGCTCATAGGGTTTCTTCTAAGCAGAAGAAATAAATCTCCATCCTCCAACAATACCAATCAACCTCATTTTACAGTAGAAGTGTCTGAGAAAAGGTAAGAGTGTCTTAAGTCTGAAAAATATACTCATGGAGGCCCTTGACCACTTAAAGAAACAACCAAATTCATATGGTTAGTAAATGAATGTCTCATACAGCACACACTTAAAATAAGATAATAGGACTGGAGATAAGGCTCAGTTGGTAGAGTGCTTGCCTCACATGTACAAGGCCCTGGGTTCAATACCCAGCACCACAAAATAAATAAATAAATAAATGAAATAAAATAAAATAAGATGGTAATTTTTTTTTGCTAAATTAAATATATTAGTAAACTCCTTAGCAAGATGTGCATATTATGGGAGCTTCATAAATTAAAAATAAAGAAAAAATTGACCTAAATTCCATCTAGTAGTGATTACCTCAATCTAAAGGACCCCCTTGAAAGGAAAAAAAATCAGCTTTAAAATTCTGCAAACAGGGGCTTGGGCTGTAGCTCAGTGTCAGAGTGCTTGCCCAGCACGTGTGAGGCACTGAGTTCGATCCTCAGCACCACATAAAAATAAACAAATAAAATAAAGACATTTTGTCCATCTACAACTACCAAAAAACAATTCTTTTTTTTTTTTTTTAAAGTCTGCAAACATAGCCAGTTCTGCTGGTACACACTATATTTACGGCTACCCAAAAGGCTGAGGCAGGAGGACTGCAAATTTGAGAGCAATTTAGCAAGACCCTGTCTAAAAGAAAGAAAAGGGGCCAGGGATGTAGCATGTAGCTTAGTGGTAAAGCACCTTCTTAGCAAGTGCATCCCTAATACCACAAAAAAGAAAAAAAATCTGTAAACATAAATCTACAGATCCTCACCTGATTAATTTTTATCTGAATCATACAGAAAAAGGTAAAATTCTCTTTAATTTTTATACAAAAAAGTATGAGCAAAGACCCTAAAATTACTGTTTATAAAGAGGTAGAGATGGCTGGGGATGTAGCTCAGTGATAATATGCACAAGACTCTCCGTTCCATCCCTAGCACCACACAAAAAAAGAGGTACAGGGTGTCATTTTAGCATCTCAACTCTTTAGTGAGAGCACTAAAGGTATATTTTAAGGCTAGATCAGTGGTAAAGAACTTGCTTGGCCTATGTGAGGCCCTGGGTTTGATCCCCAGCATCATTTAAAAAAAAAAAAGGAGCTGGGGATATAGCTCAGTTGGTAGAGTCTTGCCTCAAGTGCACAAGGCCCTGGGTTAAATCCCCAGCACCACCAAAAAAAAAAAAGGATAAATGCTAATAGTTAGGGAAAAATGCACATCAGATAGATTTTAATTTAAGTCATAATTTTACATGACAGAAACAAAAAAAAAAAATCTATGTAATACTATTTTTAAGACCCATGACTTTGAAATTAACATGGTTATACAATATTTTTCCTTTAATTATTTCCATCATCATATAAGCTTTACCTATGGAAGTAATCAATCCCTTCACTTTGATTCCGAAATTCAAAAAGCTGTGAAAAAAACTTTTTTATTATTCATGCGGTGACAAAACATGACATGAGCCTATTTATTTATCCCAGTTAGACTTAGCATTTAAACATTTTACTCCTAAAATAGTAATGTGTTTGAGTATAAGGTGCTGCTCTAGAGCTCTCTGGGGTGTTACATAACATACAGTATATATTCCACATTTGTTTACTAAAATCTCCAAAATTTCTAAATTCAGAAACACATCTGGTCCTAAGATTTTTTTTTTTTTTTTCTCCTCATGGGCTTTGAATAACATACCATGGACCAGTATACCAATTAAGACAAAATCATCTTATATAAAAAATATAACTAATACTGAGAATGAATATAGATCTTGACATGCAGCAAACCTAATGTCTTAACAACTATTAAACACAATCCTGGAAAAGAAAGCATTAAAAATTTTTCTTTTTTCTTTTTTTGTACCAGGGATTGAACCCAGGGGCACTTAACCACATTACCAGCTCTTTTTTACATTTTATTTAGAGACAGGGTCTCACTGAGTTGCTTAGTGTCTCACCAAGCTACTGAGACTGGTTTTGAATTCACAATCCTCCTGCCTCCCAAGGTACTGGGCTCACCCAGATAAAAAGACTTTAAATAATTGTCAAAAAACAAACATGTCGGCTGGGGTTGTACCTCAGAGTGGTAGAGTGCTTGCCTATACTTGTCAGGCAAGCACCACATATAAACAAATAAATAAAGTTATTTTGTCTACAACTAAAAATATTAAAAACAAACAAACAAACAAACACGTGGGGCTGGGATATAGCTCAGTTGGTACAGTGCCTGCCTCATATGCACAAGGCCCTGGGTTCAATCCCCAGCACCACAAAAAATAAACACACACACACACTATTTTCAGGTGATGGTGATATTTGCATCTTCTGAAATCTAAATCAATTCCTCTTAGGTTGAAATCCACTGATTTAAATCACAGTTAAAACAGAGCTAAAGATTAGCCGGGCTCGGTGGTACACCCCTGTAATCCCAGCAGCCCAGGAGGCTGAGGCAGAAGGATCTCGAGTTCAAAGCCAGCCTCAGCAAAAGCAAAGTGCTAAGCAACTCAGTGATACCCTACCTCTAAATAAAATACAAAAAAATAGGGCTGGGGATGCGACTCAGTGGCCGAGTGCCCCTGAGTTCAATACCCAGTACCCACCCCCCAAAAAACTAGAGCTAAAGATTGAAAATTTTAACTATGTTGAGAAAATGAATCTTCGGTGATAAATAACTTTCTCAGTAAAATGTTCTGATTTCTCAAAAATTTATATCAGAGGTATGGGGATGTAGCTCAGGGGCAGAGTGCTTGCCTAGCACTCATCAAGCCCTGGGTTCAATCCCCAGTACCACAAAAAGAAAAAAATTATATCAGAGTCTAAGATTTAAAATTATTTCCCTGTGGAAGATAATTTACAAATGTCTAACAAATTACAATGGACTTTTTCTGTGAAAGCAGAGCCTCGAACATGAATAGAGGTAAGAACAGCTCTTAAAAATCTTTGAACAGGAAGAAGAGTTTCATAGTTCTTTCCTTCCTTCCTCCTTAAGTTGCTGCTTTTCTGGTTTTAGAATTTCAAACAAAGAAAATACATATTGGCTCCACTACTAAGAAACGCCCTTTTCTTAGCAACTTCCTCCTCCAATTTTCTTCCACCATTGACATCTCAGAACAATACCCACAGCAGAACCTACCCTTTTGATTAATCCAAAATTCTGATGTTTAGAAAAATTAAGAGCTGCAATTTACGGTACCCAACTACTGCCTACCAAGTCCACAGTCCTCTCTCGCATCTAGAAGTCAGATAATAGAAAAAAACATTAAGATTCATCAGAGCGGGCTGGGGATATAACTCAGTTGGTAGAGTGCTTGCCTTGCAGGCACAAAGCCCTGGATTCAAACCCCAGCACCAAAAAAAAAAAAAAAAAGATTCATCAGGGCTAGGCTGTTGAGCTTTCACCCCACAGAATCCAATGAAATCTGACCTAATAAATGGCAAGGAAATGTGGCCTTCTTAGGGAGGAGAAAAAGACACTGGGCTGGCACCACCCTGAATCAAAACTTAAGTCTGTATACTTTCTTCTGCAGGACACCCAATCAGAATTCAAACTGAGCCCCCTGAAGTTCTGACACACTTCAAAGTGACTTTTAAAATTTAGAATTTTACAATTTAGACTTTTCCAACTCACATACTCAACAAAGGGGATGGATTTACAATTAACCAGAGATCAAGACCCTGCCTGTCTCTCCATGCCAGAAGTCAAATTAAATGTCTGGGACCAGAACTCTCCCTATGTTTGTGACAATGCAAACATTATAAGTAGGCAGTGACTTACCCCTTACCCAGTGATTGCCAGAGGAAACACCATCACATCGGTAAACTACACATTACCAGAGGCCCTGGGCAAGTCACTCGGGTTCTCTGAAACTTAATTTCCTTATGTCCAAACTCTCAAGGGAAGTTGTAAAAATTAAACAACAATATATGCCTAACCAAGGTTTGGCATACAGTAGGAGTACCATAAATGTTCTTCTCCTCTTCCTCCTCCTGCCTTCTGGGCCAAAATTCCAATCTTGGCTCCAAGAACTTTTTCCTCATCTCTGATTCTATATTCAGGTGTATAAACCTTCCCCATCTCATAGGATCTGGGACTGCTGGAGGACCCACAGAACCCAATCCCACCCCGTCCCACCCCGTCCCATCCCATCCCGGTCTGGGTAGGGCACCCACCGCCTTCGAAAACAGCCCCTATAGCCAACTCTCCTCCTGAGTCTGCGGACCATTCTGTGCGGGGCACATGCGCGCGCGCATACACACTATGCCCTACCCACCGCTACCCAACTTAACAGGCCAGGAGCCTTAAGGAGCACCTCAATTGCTGCATGGTCCTGAGACAGACACTGAGGCTCATCCTGGGGAAGAACTTCCCCAAAGAGCTGGGACCCAACTCAGGTACTCCTGCCGACAGTCTTCGTTTTACAAATGGGGATACTAAGGCCTGAAGAAGGAAGTGACTTGTCCAAGATCACAAAGCGAGTTGGGGACAGAGCCATGTCAGCTCGGGACACTTTCACAGCCTCACGGACTCGCAGGCCCCTTCACGAATCCGCTGGGGACTCCAGGTCACCCCCTCCCTTAGGGGGTAGGGTGGACTAAGACGCCACCCGCCGCCGACTGCTCGCCGGCCTCTGCCAGTCGGCGGCAGGAGGTGAGACACCCATTCCCCCTGGACTCTGCGCGGTTCGGGAGGGGCGGCCCAGCTGCGGCCGGCGCCTCACAGCGGGGCCCGCCCAAGGGAACTTGTTGCTCACCTGGCCTCGCGCAGTCCCCCTCAGAGACAGGAAAAGCCGGCCAGCCGCCCTATCTCAACACGGGATCTGCTCCCGCCGACCGCCTAGCGGGCTGCCACACAGCCGGACCCCCCTCAACGCGCAACGCCCCCAGCCGCGCTCGCCCGGCCCGTGTCCGCCATTACGCGATCCCCCGCCCTGGGACGCAGCCACACCCCGCCAACGGCTCTGATTGGTTCTCCGCTCGACCCGCCCTGGACTTCCAGTCATCCCATTGGCCTGAATAGAATGCCAGTTAAATACCTACGCAAAAGACGTACTCAAAGCTACTGTCCCGAGAGCTCCACCCGAGCAACTTCCGCAATAGGAGTAAACAGCGGGAGGCAAACCAAGTGAAATGGGGGTAGACATTTCGGTAAATCAACTCTTAAATTCAGAGTAGAAAAATCTCACTAAAGAAAGGGTAAAATCTTGCTTAAAGTGTGTTGAAAGACGAATTCTTCTTATTGGAGTCCAAAGAACCAGTATTTTGGGGGATAGGAAGGGGCCAAGCCTGTAAACTTTTCTGAGGACACCCCTCAAGTTGCAAATAGTTATGTCCCTTCACTTAGGGTCTCTGGCGGGCCGAAAGTAAGGTGTGGAAAGTGAGTCACTGGCTTTAAGAGCCCGCCCCTAAGGGATCCCAGTGTGTGTGTGTTGCGGGAGAGGGTCCTGAAAATGGGAGCTAGTTTTGACAGGTGAACTGGTCCCTAGTTGAACCGCCATCTCACTCTGCAACCTCAGACAACTCCCTGAGCTTCTCTGGGTCTCAGTTTGTCCTTCTGCAAAGTAGGCGCAGTAAGCTCAGCATATCCTCCTCACCTCCTGAAGGTGATTATTGAAGATTCATGTCTGAGTGGGCACATGCAAGCCTTATTGATTATAAAAGACTGCAGCCGGATAACAATATAACATTAATAAGTTAGCAAAGATGTCCATTTAGTTCCCTAGAGCAACTCTATACAGCATGTATTGTCCTCTACTTGCAGGGGAGAAAACGGAGCCTATGATAGCAGATTTACTCAGGTTCACCCAAGGAATTAGAAACAATCCTAGGACTCAAACTTGTGTATCATTTAGCTTTCATCCTGTATTTTTCCTTCCCAGGCATGGTGTTACCTGAAAAAGACTTGCCCCCCCCCCCCCCATGGCTTTAGTACGTGAGGGATGGTCTTAAGGGTGCCAGATTTGCCCCTGCCCCTGGTTACCATAGACTTAATCATAGGCCACTCCCAAGCTAAGTGACAAAGCTTTTCTGGGATCCTAGGAATCAGGAGGTCGGGGATGACATATGATCAGCAACCTAGGCAGAATCCCAAACGAGGACATGGACAGTGGGGTAGCCTCATGGCAAAACTTAAATCCAGGTCTCTCCGCTCTCAGAACAGAGCTCTATTCACTACAGGATTGTTTTCCCAGCAGGACTGTCTTGGCTGTGATTCCTAGTCCTTTTCCCTCCCTAGAGGCCAAGAAGGGAATAGGAGGGGGAGCAGCTTAAGACTTAAGAAGGGCAGAGACCCTACAAGTGGGTGATGCCAACAGGGTCCCAGTGCTGACTGGGTTAGTATCCTCCAGGTTCAAATTGGTACCCGTGGTCTGACAGTCAGTGACTGTTTAAATCTGGCTGCAGCGGTTGGGTGCAGGAGGTAACTGCAGAAGGCAGTAGTGACTTTGGGGTCAAATCTGAGCTAGGGTTGAATCCTAGCTCCACCACTTCCTAGCTCTCTTAGCCTTACCTACCCGTCTCTAAAATGGGATGATAAGACAGTTGTGAGGATTCAATGAGTTAATTGTGGCGCTACTGAGTCATGTGTTTAAAATGCCTGGTAGCTACTTATTCATTCACGAATTCATTCATTCAATAAAAAATTATTGAGCACCTAGCAGGTATAGAACAGCCTGCCAATGGCTCAGCTATAATGGTAAGAAAAATAGTCAGACCCTCTGGGAGCTTAGACTCTGGTAAGGAACAAAGTAGTTAAACAAATGAATGCACAAACACAGTTAGAAAGTGATAAGGAACAAGAAGGCAAAGTACAATCTGATTCTGAGAGGGAATATCAGGAAACGGGAGGAGTCAAAGGAGACTTCCCTAAGTGGATGCTGTCTGTGGTGAATTGATGGATGTGGTTCACCCATTCATGAATGAGAGGGTGAGAGAAAAGGGGCAAGTCAAGAGGAAGGGTATGAAGTCAAGGAGGGTAGTGGGAGTGGGGCTGGAGGGCACAGCACACGATCTGAGGGCCACAATAGAGAGGGTCATTGTTAAACCAGACCCTAGTTTTGGTTTTGAAGGTGGAATTGTTCTCCAAGGTTCTCTTCACTTTTCTGATAGTCCCTAAAAGAAGCTGGCTTTACTGGGTGGTAAGTACCTATAATCCCAGCTACTCAGGGGCTGAGGTAGGAGGATTGCAAATTCAAGGCCAGCCTGGGCAATTTAGAGAAACTCTATTTCAAAAAAAAAAAAGGGGGGGGGGGGGGCGGGGCGTGGTAACACACCCTTAAAATCCCAGCAACTCAGGAGGCTGAGACTGAGACAGGAGGATCACAAGTTCAAAACCAGATTCAGCAATTTAGCTAGACCCTAAGCAACTTAGCAAGACCCTGACTCTGTTAAAAATGTATATATAGAGAGGGTGGGGTTATGGCTCAGTGGTAGAGCACTTGCCTAGCATGTGTGAGGCACTGGGTTCAATTCTCAGCACCACATAAAAATGAATAAAATAAAGATCCATCAACAACTAAAAAATATTTTTTAAAAAATTATATATATATATATATATATATGGCTGGGGATGTGGCTAAGTGGTTAAAGTATCCCTGGGTTCAATCCCTGGTTCAAAAAGAAAAAATATATATATAGGCCATGATGTATTGAGTTTAATTCAGGGATGGGGGCAGAGGGAGGATGCAGGCTTCCAGAACCAGGGATTTGCAAGGCCCTGGGTTCAATCCCCATCCCCAGTATTTTAGAAGAGATCGCAGGCTTCCAAGAAGGCCCTCCTAAGTTTGAATCTTGACTGTACCACCTTACCTTAGATACAGTGACTTTGATCTGTCACCAAACCTAATTGTCCTTCAGCCATATTTATTATTATACTTTTAGGAGGTATAATTATAGAGGGTCATAAGGTAGCAGTAAGGATTTAAAGGGAAATATAATTAAGTGGCAGATAGAAGGCACTCTATAAATGGTCCTGGGGGGGGGGGGGTGTTGTGACTCCGTGGTAGAGTGCTTGTCTAGCATGTGTGAGGCACTGGGTGCAATTCTCAGCACCGCATATAAATAAATTATAGAATAAAGGTCCATGGACAACCAAAAAATATTTATAAATAAATAAATTGTCCTTGGTCTTCCCAGCATGGAGGGAGGTAGCAGAGCCAGCAGCTGGTTTGTAATAGAGCTGATGCAGACAACCATGTATTGTGCAAGTTATTATCTAACCTTAATTGTCATAGGAAACTTTGAAGTCAGACAAACCTGAGTTTAAATAACTGTTTACCACTTTCTAGCTATGTGACTTTAAGCAGGTGACTTCACCTCTCTGAGCCTCTGTTTCCTTATCCGTTAAATGTGAATCATAATTCTTTCTATTTCCCAGAGTTGTGAAGATTAAATGAGATAATAAATGTGATCACCTAGGGAATGTGGGTGTAGATCAGTGGTAGAACGCTTGTCTAACATACATAAGGCCCTGGGTTCAATCCCCAAAACTGGAGGGAAAAAAAAAAGTTATTTCAAATATGAGTCACTTAGCACAATGATTGGTATATGGTAAGCAACTGTTGAATGTTAGTTCCAATAATAATTACTATTAATATTTACATCAGTAGTTTCCACCTCCTTGAGAAATTAATATTCTGAGCTGGGCCTAGTGGTACTTTCCTGTAATCTTAGTAACTCAGGAGGCTGAGGCAGGAGAATCACAAATTTGAGGCCAGCCTCAGCAATTTAGTGAGACCCTGACTCAAAATAAAAAATAAAGGCGGGGGGGGGGGGGGGGGGTGCGCTGGAGATGTAGCTCGGTGATAAAGTGCCCCTGGATTCAATCCCCAGTACCAAAAGAAAAGAAAAAGAAGTTGTAGGGAAGAATGAAGGAACTTTGGATTGTGCAGACGGGAGTGAGGGGAAGGGTGGGGTGGTGGGGATGGGAAGGACGGTGGAATGAGATAGACATTATTATCCTATATACTCCTATATACGTGTATAACTACACTACTGGTGTGACTCAGCACCATGTACAGCCAGAGGAATGAGAAGTTATGCTCCACTTGTGTACAATGTGTCAAATGCATTCTACTGTCATGTGTAACTAATTAGAACAAATAAAAAAAGAAAAATTAATATTCTGGGGCTTTGCTTACAGGTTGTCCCAACAACAGAAGCCTTACTTTTTCTTTTTAGGAGATGAAGATAGGTTGCTTTTTAAGGTGAGTGCTATACCTATTACTAGTATTGAACACCAACATTTAGTGAGCATTTACTATATGCCAGGCATATGCTAATCACTTTAAATGAATTAATCCTCATAGTGGTCCTGTAAATTAGGTCCTATTATCATTCTTATTTTACAAATGAGGACAAGGTAGCACAGAGAGGTTAAGGGCCCAAGGATACCCATTGGAAAGTAACAAGGCTGGAATTCAAACCCAGCCATGGAACTTGAGAATTCCAGATGGGTAAGCCCTATCTCTTCTACCAAGGAGTAAAAGATATCACCTGGAGCCAGTGCTGAAATTATTCACTGCCTGTAGCAAGTCCCCAGTTTGCAAAAGACAAGTCCTGTTCCTTTCCTACCAATTAAAAAAAAAAAAAAAAAAAAAACCTCTTGCCTATTTCCCCAGTAAGGGCAAGAATCAGACTTTATTCCTCCGTAAAGCGTCACTGGCTACCTAGGCTCCTTAATGGTGGCCAAGTCACACCCTCTCTCCGAGACTCAGTTTCCTTCTCTTTATCTATGAAATAGAGATGATAAAGCTCTGCCTACAAGACTGTCATGAGGAGCAAAGGCCACATGAGTTTCTGTTATTGTTGCCGTGGGCTTGGGAGCCCTTTGGGAAAGCAGCCTAAGTCAGTAACAGGCCAGAGGCAAACGGACTCAGGTTCAAGTCCCAGGTCTGCCTTTTACGCTGTCTGATCTTGGACCAGTTATATA